CCATCGTTGCTGGCCACCGCCGCTCTACCATCCCTCTAAGCCCCGCACCACCGGTGAAAAACTCCGGCGATTCCCTGCACCCCCACCTCTAAGATAGACAATGGGATTGTGGTTTTTCCCTAAGAAAGATAGTGAGGTTATGCCTTCCCCCTAAGATTGATTCTTCTCCGACGAGGTACCTGGAAAATAGCAAAACTGAAAACGTTTCATAGTTGTTTACAGAGGGAGTACTTAATTTTAAAAACTATGAAAATTAATCATTGAAGTTAATTAACTTAGTATCCTTTTGGAAGGTCCAAAAGAAAAGAAAAACACCTAGTAACCCCTGGGTACAGTGGCGAAGCTAGCACTTTGTTAGAGCCTAGAAACACCGTGATCTCACGTACACAATTGTCGATAATGTACTATGCCTAAGGTAAATGTCATTTTTAAGGTCTTGTTTTAAAATCATCTAGCAATACGTAAATATTGGGACGACATGCTGACTTCACCTAATATGGTACTACGTAGGAGTCCACAGCTTTTAGAATGTGTGTACAAAGTTGCAATTTTTTCCCATATATGAATACATATGTTCATTGCAAATGTGAAACAACGTATGAAAGTCAATTCCATTAATAAAAAATTAAATGGAAATGTTAAACATACTATGCTTAACTTGACAACAAATGAATACTAACCCATATTGATCAGTATAGAATATCATTATTAAGGTATTGTAATTTTACTACAGTATAGAATATCATTATCAGTATAAAAAATTAAATGGAAATGTTAAACATACTATGCTTAATAATGATCTCTACTCCTAAAAGGGGAGTTGGTAATCCGGTACGCATGGTTTATTTTCGCCTCCACCTCCGACCACCACCCCCACGTTGGTTTTCTCACCCTCCCACTAAAGTTCGAATTGATTAGTCCGACCCACCTTTTGGTTTTTCGTGCTTGCTTTGGCAGGCGCCAATTCAATTCAATCACGTAAATATTACGTAATTAAAATCCAGAATTCACACCATATTTGTGAGATTACCTTCCTAAAAGACATACAGAATGGCATCAATTAGAGAAGAAATTAATTCCATGCTTATATTAGGTAGAACATCAATTATATGCTATTTTTGTGATTACATTGATGCTATATATGATATCATATGATATTAATTGTAGACTAAACATGTTGAGCGCTTATGGATCAATCCGAAATGACTCTTTCATGATCGCTCGTGCAAACGCACGACCTCCTTCATCCGTTCCCAATCAGATTCTGACCTTGACATTCCCTTTCCAAATTAACAACGGTGGCCCACCTACTCCTTAGACCATGCAAGCAACCCATCCATGCATCTACAGGAGTACTATACACCTAATCCCCCCCCCCCTGATTTTCAGGGGTGGGGTCGGGGGGTGGGGGGAGCAAAACTTTGCTTCTAATCATCTCTAAACTCTTAATGGAACCACGTCGCACTTACCTAATTAAACAGACTATTCCTGTCGGAAAGTAAGCGCTCCAGGTCGTTGGATTGATATTGTTCGATGACCGAGATTAAATGGATATGCCTTTGGAGTCTTTCTATATTGAGAGAGGAAATTAATTCCATGCTTGTATGTGCATTTTTTTGTTAGTCTGTGGCAACGCACGAAAAATTTCCAAGTTCTCATAGGTTAACTCTAAAATATTGATTTTAAAGATAGTTCTTCGGATTTCATATAGTCAAGTAAATCAAACTCTCATCCACAAAAAAGTAAACCAAATTCTCATGGGTTCCCTTAAAATATAGCTTTTACCAATAGTTTTCTTATTTCACTCTCTTTTCTCTCTTGTGCTCTGTATTACTAAATTTACCCAATATATGCCGAGTTTAATAAAAAGCATGCAACGCTTTAATAATCCCTAGATGAACCAGTGAGGCGCAGCGGCATGCCGTGCACTACCTGCTAGTATTCTATTGTGGTCAATGTAGATCTAAAGATTTTCCAAATTCCTTCCTATATTCAGTTAAAGAACTACATATGTTAGCTCCCAACCGGATAAGTAACTACTATGAGGAAAAGTTATTCCAAATGGAAATTAATGAGCATAATCCATATCACAGTTTTGCAATCAGTACTTTTCAAGCTTTCAATAATCATGGACGTTTTTTAGTTTCAAGCCATGGAGCTTAACTCTCTTTCTTTTAACAACATTTCACTTTCATGCTCCTCAACTTTTGCTATAACTTGCTAAGGATGACGCATGACTATTCTTTGAATGTTCTGCATTTTCCTGCAGAAACAAATTAAACAATGGGAATTGCAATCTTTTGCATTTATTAGTCATTAGTTATAAGATCAGAGTGATTTTCTCAAAATATCTAAGACTAACAGGTTTGAACAATTATGTAATGGGTGTAAAAATACATTCATTAGTGTCCGAGCTCTAGCAGCTTCCGGTTTCACCATTGCCACCACTATTATCAGGTTTAATAATTATCTTTGATTATCATTTACCAAATCGAGGACGAACATGGATTAAGTTTAGGGATGCTAATACGTCTCCAATGTATTTTTCATCGTTTCGTGCTATTATCATACCACTTTTACATATTTTTGGCATCAATATATATATATTTTGGACTAACCTATTAATCTAGTGCCCTGTGTCTGTTCATGTTTTGCACCCACCCCCGGGCACACTGTGCCAGCGTGGGGGTTGTGGATATTTGTTGGAGACCTTCTTTCGCCACGAGAAATGGAGAAAGATCTCCTCAAAATATCAACCTGATCAGAGTTACAAATCTTCGGCTATTTAAGAAATTGTGTTTGGCCAAAAAGTAGTGCCGAAAAACAGAGAGACGGAGAGAAGAGATCCAATCTCGGAGGGGCAAGCCATGGTGGCCAAGGACCAGAGGGGAGAACCTCTCCCCGTCTAGAGGAGAGGCAATGGAGGAAGAAGCCAAAGGGGAGCCTCTCTCGCTGAGGGAACCATCATCACGGTGATCATCTTCGTCAATATTGTCGTCTTGACCAACATCTTCATCACCTCTTTTCGGCGGTTCAATCCCCCGCATACCACTGTAAGCCCCTACTTGAACATGGTGTTTGGATGCTATTGATTATTATTATGATGATTTCTTGCCTCTTCTTTGTGTCTGAGTAGATTATTGTTGTCCTATGGGTTAATTGGTGAATCACTATGATTGATTTCAGTTGTTCATGGTTATGTTACTGTCCTTTGGTGCCCATCATATGAGTGTGTATGTGGATCACACCATAGGGTTATTTGTATGTTGATAGGACTATGCATATGGGTGCAGGAGTGACTGAAACCTCGTCAGACCATAGAAATTGATACATACTAGATTGAAGGGGGGAGGCAATATATCTCAATTCCATGATTGGGTTTACCTTAATGAACTTGTTAGTTGTTGCAGATGGTTGTTAATAGTTCCAATCATAAGTGCATTTCAAGTAAGGGATAATATGTTAGCAGAGGCATCTCCCACATATAAACTGCAATTACGATGATCGCTTTAGTAACTTAGTTGATTGCCTAGGGACAATTTCGCACACCATACCACCACTATTCCACACTTGCCATTTGTATTTATTGTATCCTTGCTTAGGAAACACCCATCTTTTATGTATATGTTCTTCGTTATCTTGCAAAGTTACCTTTTTATACCCGCAACATAGTTTTATTTATTGTTTCTAGATAAAGCAAACACTCTGTGTACGCAGGGTTG